TATTGATTGTTGTTGATTGTTGTTGAAGGAGTCATCCTCATGATTTGGGAAATTTTGGTTTTTATTTTCGAATTGAGGGGATGATATTGTATTTTGGGAATTGTTTGATCGGGTTTTGTCCTGAAGCAGTGGCTTCTGTTTTGCTCAATGCAGATGACTGGAGAGTTGTTTGTTTTGATTGAGGGATTAATGATTGACATGATGAGATATAAGTTTAATTGATTTTTAATTGATGAAACTGATTGGTTTTTGCAGGCGAGCGAAATGAGCGAACAGAGCAAAAGCGCAAAATATTTATGTGATGTTTTTCGTAAGTCACTAAATTTTCTAGCAAAATCGCATAATAATTTCTGCTAAGCCCCTTCCTTTCAAAGGTATGAGCGAAATGAGCAAGATGAGAGACAAATGAAAATTAAACCCTTTGATGGATTACGTTATTAATATTTCGCTTATATGTCGGGAATTGTTGGGTTCAATTTTGTAAAAAAAATTCTTAGTCCCATCCTTTCAAAAATATTTACGGACTGAGCAAAATTGGAGAATTGACTCATTCGGAAAATGGTTGGGCTCGGAGAGAAAAATATGGTGAGCTTTTTGTAGATTATTCTCGACGGAAACGTCTCATGATATTTTATTTTGAGCCTCACCCTCCAAAGACATGAGCGAAGGAAGTGAAATGAGCGAAAAGAGCGAAATATTGAATTCGACAAAGAATTCTCTCTCGATTTATTTGGAAATATCTCCGGAATCATTCGGTTTTGTGGAAAATCCTCTACATAGAATGTCTTATAGTATTTTCCCCTAAACAATATCCTTCCAAAGATCTTTAAAAAATAATCACTAAATGATCATTCAACAATGACAAGCCAATTAATCTCTCAATCAAAATGACTGATTCCCCTGTAAGAAAAAATTGTAAAAAAATCGTAGAATCTCCCAAAAATTCCCACGATTTCTCAAAGAAATTGTGAAAAAAAAATTAATTTAAAACCGTCAGAAAAACACGACTGAGGATAGCACGGGCCGGCCACACGCTCTAGCCGTAACACTTGATTAAAGCCTAGTCTCTAAGTAAATAAAAACTCAAGAGAAACTAGAACAAATGCTGAATATTGTCCGATATTACCCAGCGTGAGTAAATGAGAGTAAGGGATGAAAAAATACTGGACAAGAATGGAAGAATAAAAAAAAACTAAGTTCGTTGGACTGACGTCATCGTTGGTCGAATGACGCCACATCAATGTGAACAAAAGGTGTGACCTGGACCAATTCAATTATTTTCCCTTTATTTACACAGAGTTTTCCCTTTCTTGGGTGGCCGTGGGATTGTGTCCCAGCGTATGCCACACGAGAACGCCTGGGAAACACCAGTGAATCGTCCTCGTCACTCCTTTGAAACGAATTAATGAAGAATAAATAAAATATATATAATATATATATAAACAATTCGTCTAGGGTATCGTAGCAGCATTGAATTTTTGTACCAATGTCTATTGTAGTTATTAAAGACCGCCTTCTGTTGATTAAAAAATTGATAATATGAAAAAATTGAGAGAAATTTGAGATTTCGGGGGTGAAAGGAATAGTTGAGGAATTTTTTGGGGGAAATTTTGTCAGCTAGGAAAAAATCTCATGACATTCAGTCTTTTTTAAAAAGTCATTTTTATTTTTTACTTTATTTGCTACTTTGGAGTTATCGAAGTACAATTCTCGATTTGACACCCGCACCCTGCCTGCCTGCCATTTTCTCATTGAACCAATAGTAATTGAGATAATTGCGTAATGACAAAAATGAAAAAATCGACATTCGCTCCAAGTCGACATTTCCGCTCATTAAATATGACATCATCTCGTTAAAAAGTTCTGTTTTATAGAAGAATATCAAGGAATATTTATAATAATTAGCAATTAACAAATGTCAAAAATTTCACGTTTGCGAAAATTTAATGTTGCATGTTTTTTTAGATGCAAAAAATACCTTGAGGATGTTCGACACCCTTTTAGCCAAAATTGACGTTGTTTTCATTTTTTTGGCAAATTATCGATGGGAGTGACGTAAAAAAATATAACGATTTTGTGGTTTGTCATTCTTTAATGGCTCACGAAGTTGCGTAGTGGTGCGATAATTTTCATGCGTTTTTTCTACAGTTTTGTGATTCTTTTTAAAAGTTTAGAGAAAACGCAGGAAAATGTTCGCACCACCTTAAAATTTCGTCAGTCATTAAATAATGACAAAACGCAAAAACGTTATATTTTTTCACCAGAAAAATTAAAAAAACGTGAATTTTGGCAGAAAGGGTGTAGAACATCCTTAACAATGAATCATTTTATTGTTGAAAAATGTGAAGAAAATCGACAATTATCAAATGTCAAAATCGATTGTTCCCGCTCCCGAAACAATTTTCTCCACTTCTTTCAATTTTTTTTACAGGGTGCTTGGAGCCCGAAACTCGCACGTTCGTTTTCTCCCAAAATGTTCAGAGAAACGAGAATGACAGAGTAATGGTGAAGAATAAAAACAAAATAAAATCATATCGTCGTGCAAAGTTTCGGGATCGACTGATGTATTTGAAAAAATAAATTTATTTCCCTTAAACACGTGCACCACGATCCGTCTTGCGTCGCAGGCTCTTCGACGAATACTCAAGAGTATAACGAAATGGAGAAATGAAAAATAAAATGTGTGCATGCGAGAATACGTCGAAATTGCTCCACTGATTGCCTCGATAATTGTACAGAAGCGCATTGCTTTAGTTAATGGGAGTATTTCAATAATTTTAACCCTATTATTAGTGTTACTGATGATTGTAAATAAGTGGAGTACAGTAATACTTTTTGAATTGCTTAAAAACCAAGTGGTAATTGAATCCCCAGAATGAAATTACTAGAGTAATTCAGTTGTGAAGTGATAATGCGTAATAATAGAATTCTTTTTTCCCGATTTTTTTATTTATTTCGAGAACGAGTTGGTTTACGAGAAAATGTCTGAAAACCTTTCTCGGAGAGACCTAAATTTCGGATAAAAAAGTTTTTAACAGATTGTCCCGTAAAATCACTCGTTATCGAGATAATTACATGTTCAGTGGAGTGCTGAAACGTAAAGAGTGAGATTGCTTCATTCTCGATATTTCTCATTTATCTCAGAAATGAGTAGTTTTACAAGAAAATATCATAAAATATTTTTTGTAGACAATTGAATTTTCTACGAAAATATTCTGTGACATTTTCTTCTACAGTCACTCCCTATCGAGATAATTCGACATTTAGGAGAAGGCGGAGCGAAATGAAACAAGGATAAACGACAGTTGTTTTTTTTTTTGTTTTAAAAAATTTTCTTTTGGTTTTCACGTTTAGAATTGAGGGTCAAACGTCCTTAAGGATTGTCTGACCTTTACGATGTCAATAAGGGTCGCTTGACCCTTTGCATCGTTTGAATCCCAACTTAAAATGAAGTTTCCTAAATATTTCGCCCCAGTCTCCCCTACAAAAATACTAAAAACATTTTTTTACAATTTCACTTCCACCACTGAATTTCTCATTTCCTTCAATTTTTCATACTTCCCTAGAAAAATAACTACCCAAGAGTATTACTGATTATTTTAGTGAGAAAAAATCTCTTTACGAATGTTTTTACAAAGAATCTACCTAAAAATTCAGTAGCGAAGGGAAAACGAGAAAATCCGACTTCAGTCGAGTTGTCGATATTTTCTTGAAGACTCTTTTATCGATCATTTCATCAACTGAAAAAAAGTCCTCACAAAAATCTCGCTATGCCTCTTCAATTCCGAGATGTAAAAAAAACAAAAATAAAATTCCCTTCGGTACTGAATTCATTAATTACCCTATTCTATTTAATTACACCGAATCGTTCGACGTGTCCTCGTGCAATTAACGAGTATGCGTCGAAAAATCATGTCACCTTGGCTCAAACAACCCTTGGCCCAGGTGTAATGCCACAAAGTAAATAAAATTCTCCCAGAATCCCGAGTCCAGAGCTTCGAGACGAGAGGAAAAATCGTTTCACAAGATTTAAGACACTAAAACATCTTCAATCAGCATCGTCCGAGAGATTTTCTCCACCCTCGACCGTTCGACGACCGGATTTGCTCGATGATTCTCACTAATTATCCGAATAATTGAACAAATCCCAAGAATTATCCCCTATAATTGAAAAATCCTCACCTGAAATGGCATTCAATTGTCGAGCGGACGAACACGTGGAAAAAATCGATGAAAAATTATTGATCAAGTGAATAATGAATTAATGGAGTTGATTGAACACTCGAAGCAGTCTTGCCTCGTGGATTTCAACTGTCGAATTCACGAGGTGACGCTGAGACTCGGATTTTAGCGAATGACGTACGAAGAATGAATTGAAATGCTGGAGAAAATGAATTATAAATTACAATAATAATTTATAACGTGTGAAGAGAGTGAGTGAGTGAGAGATGATTGTTGAATAAAAATCATTGCATTCACTAATGGAATATGAAAATATTCACTTCATTCACTTTATTAAGAGCGTGAGAATAATTTCCAAGTCATTTGATATTCGATACATCGAGTGGAAATTTTTTTTTAATGAATTAAGACTCTACCTTTAGCCTCTCCTCCATCGCGAGTTCCCCCTTGATCGCGATTTTTAATTTGTTAAATTTTTTTAAAGGGAGGAACGAACAATAATTGAAGTTAACGATGGAGTGGCTTGAGTGGTAGACTCGATTCGTCGATTGATATTTTTAATTATTAAAGAGTTAAATATCTTAACACCGATTATGAGCGATCGAGGATGTCTTGGGTTTTGTTTGGAATATTGTCGCAAATACGAGGAGATTCATGAGGAGGGAGAAGAACGCCCATTCTATGTGTGTAAGAACATAATGCTTAATGAAGAACATTATACTATGAACAAGAAGAAATGAAAAAAAAGTGGAAAATTATGGGATACTAATAAAAGTAAGCCAAAACTGTTTATGAGTTGATGATTTCACTCCTTTTTTTATTATTTCCAGGTACAATTCTGTGCGGAATGTGAGAAGATAACTCTTTTTTTCATAATTAAATCGAACCTTTGATTGGTTAAATTTATTCGGAGATCATCTCATTCTTAACGACTCGAGCCATGAAGAAATAACTAAATTTATTGAACAATTCAGGTTTGAGACTTATGTTCGACATGCATGGGTCTCGAGAGTAGGTGAATTTAGAGGAAAATGTCATACCAACTTTTTGCAGAGAATTGAATTTTCAACAAAAAAGATTTATTCACATTTTCTCTTGAAATCACTCGTTACCCACATAATTCCATTTTCTACGGGAAGAAAATTTATCCAAAATGTAATTTTTCATACAGACTTATTTGAAAAATTACATCCGCAGTAAAAACAAGTTCCATGACATTTTGTTCTGAATTTAACACTCAGAAAAAAATTCACAAATCCATTTATTACGACTCATCACTCAGATTTTTTATTCTGATCTCGATTTTTCATACAACTCTTGATGATCCTGTCGAAAGAGGCTAAATAGCAGGCGGCAACGAGCCTGAAGGGCCCCATGAGTAGTGCCTCGAGGGCCAATTGTGCAAATGAGGAGACTGGGGACATTCCACTGCACAGAGTAGTCAGCAAAAAACCATCGATTCCACTCGTGGAGAAGAATTTCCCAGACAAGGCGTCCTCCAAGAGCTGATTAGCCACTGTGTCGGGGCTGATTATCCCCGAGGATCCTGAGATTAATTTTGTCTCAACAGGTTTTGCCAATTCCTCGACAGCGAAGCCAGGAGTGTCGGTGTCTGGGGGCATTGACAGGGTCACGAAGACGTTGTAGGGTTTTAATTCCATCGCGAGACTCTCTGCGAGACCTCGGAGGGCGAATTTCGAACTGCAGTAGCCACCATATCCAAAAATTCCTGAAAATCCATTGAGATAACAAGTGAATAATAATTGGAGGCAGCTGTTGTTGCATTCAAATTCAGCCTTCAAAGGAGTATAAACCAGTAGCGAAGCGGTAAACCGGGTTAAGTCGATTTTTACTATTGGCTAGTTTTTGACGAATATCTCGGAATCTAAAAGAGATAGAAAGATTTTTTCATGACCTTTTTTGTAGAGCCAATAGAGCGTTATAAAAAAAGTCATGAGAAAAATTTTGCTATCTCTCTTAGATTCCGAGATATTCAGCAAAAACTGGCTAATAGTGAAAATCGACTTAACTCGGTTTACCGCTTCACTACTGAAACACACCTCGATTTTCAATTTTTAAGATGTTTCGTTCGGAAAAGGTAAATAACGACATTCATCTGGAATTCGTGCAGAATGTTTATAATCACAACTGAATTATCTGTGAATTTTCCTAGAATTTTTTCAGATTTTCTTTTCAAGTTATTTTTAATATTTTTCTTCAATACATAAACAATATGGAACTGAATTCGATGTCAGATGCATCAAACCTCTCGTAAATCGAACTAATTTTCATAAAAAATTCCGAAATTTTTACCAAAAATACCCTAAACATTCCTTTGTTGAATGGCGTAAGCGAAATTTCGATTCAATGAATTACTGACTTGTTATTAAAATCTGTGATAAATTTTGAATGGAAGTTCATATGAATAGAAATTATTATATTATTCATACAAGTTGTTTAAGAGTGCCAAACACCACCGAGTCTTATGAGAAAGTAACATTTTCAAGCATAAAAAAGATTGAAATCTAGAGAAAATCAGAAAAAAAATGAATAAAATAATTGATCACAAATTTATTTCTCTTGGATTTAAATTTACGCGCAGAAATCAGAATTTTCGATGAAAACCACAAATTCGATCAATCCATTTCCGTTTCCCTACTAAAATATTTTAAAGAGCTCTGTAGTTCAATTAGTCAATTAAATTGACCTCAATTGGATTGAAAATAATTGTCCAATCAAAAATTCAACGTTCCCATTCTATACTCCACTTCGAAAATCAAATCGTAATTAATGGAGGAAAAAATAACAGAACAGTAATGGAGAATGAATTCATCAAGTTATACCCAATTACCCAGTTAGCCAGTAATCAAATTATTCGTTGAAATTCACTCAACCAGTACTCATTAATACGGCAATTCATACTCTCTAAATAGACCTTTTAAATCTATGATTATGTTCGTCGCACTTGCTGCACTTAATTAACTCGAAGTTAATTGAAACCATTTTCGGTACTTGAATTCGCAATTTCCGTTCTCTTTTCTGAATTCCGGGATTTTATCCAGTTGAGTCTGTTCCTTAACTCTGAAAATTCGATCTAAAGGACGTTCTCAACCGTTGAAACATCAGTGAAAGATATTCAAAAATATATAAACGACACTAATTTCGAAAAAATTGCACATTTCGAACGCACAACGGGCTCCTCTGCTGGTACTTTCTTTAATCTCCGTAATTAACAAATCAAAAATGAAAAAACGAAAAAAAAAATTTTTTCGTGCTTAGTTTGAGACTTTCGCGGCCATTATTAATGACATTATTGGCTTCCGGATGGACGTGGCGTTTGGTTTCAGGATTGCGCCGACGTTTCGCAAACATTGCAGTCTTCATTTTCAGGGCTATGAGCTCCGATTCGATTCGATTCGATTTGAAAAGAATAAGTTACACAGAAAAATCGAATTTTGTAGACTTTTTCTATTGAATGTTTTCTATTGAACATGTCAACAGAATCAGCCAATAGAATTGAAAATATAAAACTAATACAAAGTTTAATAGAAATTCAATAGAATTTTCCAACGAATTCGATAGGTTTTTCTATTAAATTTTTTCGTGCCTATCTCCTCCACCCAAATAACTTCGAAACATTTCGACTCCTCCAAAGTCCAAGAAGCCAGCATTGAAAAATTTCAAATACCAACAACATATTTACCAAGTAATGCAGCTTGCGACGAAGTTAGGACAATAATTCCATCCCTGGCGCTCTTCATCTTCGGCACAACGCTTTTAATACAATAGAAAGTTCCCATGAAATTGAGATCCATCATCCACTTCAAGTTGTCCGGAGTTGTGTCCTCTACTTTGCCAGGAATGGCGGTACCAGCGCAATTCACAAGCATGTAAATAGGCCCCATTGTTCTCTCGACATCGTTCAAGGCCTTTTCAACGGCATTGTAGCCGACAGTTATGTCCAATGACAGAATTTCGTGCTTCTGAGTGTCTCGATTTTTAGAAGCCATGAGAAGTTCATTCCTCGTTGCCTCGAGTTTTTTCGTATTTCGAGCGATTATTGTCACGTGAGCACCATTTTTAGCCGCTAGGAGGGCTACGGATCTTCCTATGCCACTGGAGCCTCCAGTTATCTGCAATCAGGTGAATATCATTCGGTAAATATCGATTTAAATGAAAAACGATTTGTATGTGTGATGGATTTATATTTATAATATTTCGTTAGACTATTCTATTGGATTCCTATTGAGCTTTTGGTTCTCGGATTTTTTTCCCCCTGAAAAAATTCCCCGGAAACAAACTCCCGGAATTATTTCTCCTTGCGAATGTAAAAAACAATTACACAAACACACATTACCAACGTCAATTTTATTTATTACATCCTTCAATCTTCGAACACACGCCAGATGAGAATTCAACTTTTTCAATAGATCAATAATAAATAAACTACGTTACTGTAATGAATTATTTGTCAACATTTTCGAACCAATTACTTGCCCCAATAATCAGTGAATCTTCATTAACAAGCACTCTCGTCCTACAAAGTCGCAGATTCATAAAAAAAACTAACAACATTCATCAAAACTACATACGTCTGAACATTAAAAAAATATCTTGTGATATTTGAATTGACAATTCAATATTTGAATGAACAATGTGATATCATGTGTAACTTAAAGGAGTAACGAGAATACTTTGAAACATTAACAATAAAGTTAAAAATTATGATATTGAAACGCGTACGGGTTAATAAATAAACTTTATTAAATAAAAGGGACGATAGAAAATATACATGCGTCTGAACATTAAAAAATAGATCCATGAAAGAATCAATTTTAAAATCAAAAGAGAGTGTTGATATCAGAGGAGAGGTTCAGGTGATAAAAAAGAATGAATACAGATCGAATGCATTCAAGGGAAAGATAGTCAATCATAACAATATGTTCATTTTTCATTTTTGGCCGGAGATTTTTTATTATTTTTTTTTTCGCTGATTATCAGGGGAAAATAATTCCGGGTGAATATTTAGACGGATTTTTTTCCACGGGAAATTTTTTTCGGAGAATTTTTTTGGGGAGAAAAAATCCGGTCGCCGAACTTTTTATTAGTTTTTGGCTGATTCTGTTCAAATGTTCAATATAGAAAATATTTTATAGAACAAGTCAATAGAATTCTTTGTTTCTTTCCAACTTAGTCTATTTAAATGTGTTCTGTAGAATTTTCTGGGCTCAAATTTCTCAAGTTTTTGCTTCCGAATGAAAGCATTGTGATCGTTCAAATTTAAGTTTTGGATTTTTTGTGTTAGGGGAGACTGGGGTAAAACGGATACTTTAGACTTTTTTTCAATTACTCATAACCCAAGAACAAATTCATCAATTGAGCTCAGCTTAGACTCATTACAAAGGGAAAGAATTGTTCTTTGCATTAAGAAAAAAATTTCATCAACATTTCAACCTGTTATTAACATTTTTAAGAAAGTCAAATGTGTCCATTTTACCCCAACCTCCCCTATATCAACCCATTATGATCTAAAAAGTCCGAAAGTGCAATTGTGTGTGATAAAGTTTTTCTTTAATTGTTCGCTAATGAATGGATGGAATTGAATCTTTATTTTTTTCAAATGTAGGTATTGTTGAGCCCCACCGATCGCTACCAATTAAAATTTAATTCATCAATTAGTTTTTCTAATTTTGTCCCACGATAACTATTCATTTAATTATCATAGTGAATCCAGTTTAAAAAAATGCAGTAAAATCGAAAAAACGGTTTTTAAAAATGTCAATTAAAAACTATAAAAAAATATCTAAAATTGAACGAATCTGTAAAATTTCAGCTCAAAAAAAATTTCTTTGTTTTATTTTCATTCTCATTTTCATAAAAAAAAAATATGAAAAATTCATTTGAAATTTAGTAAACTCATCAATTCAGTTTTCATATTTACCACAACATGCTTTCCCTCCACACTCCTCGATCGCCGGCTCCGGAGCAACTGTTCAGCAATCAAAATCACCAACACAAGCACAAAAACCACCAAACAAACTCCTAATACTGGCGACATTGTGAATAAAACTAATTCCACCGCCACAAAACTAAAGAGTTTCCGTTAATTATCGCCGAACCCCATTAATTATAATGACTATGAGTGGCCAGAGGTTAGAGAGCCCTCACTGCGGCAGCAACAATCAGTAATTGACATTCAATTACAGCTGATTAAATACCTGCGAATAAAACTTCAAAATCCTCCAAAATCGCACTCAATGATTAATCAGAAATTAATGAAACATTCAAATTATCATTCTGGTCAAAAACTAATTGACTCGCAATTTTCCATCAGAGAATAATATCAAATGCCTTTATGCCTCTACTGTTGCCAGCGCCACTCCACAACAATGAGATTTTGGGAAATTTTCGGGTCAAAATATTTCTATTCGGAAACTATTTGTGTCGAACCTCAGCTAGTGCATGAATGACTCGTCCACCCGTGAGAGCTGTTTTTTTATATCTTGCGCAGAGTGGGAGGCATTTGTAATGAATAACTGGATCGGTGGACAACAGTTCAAGGTTTATTCTGTGAACTATTACAAAGTCTTTTTTTAATATTCTAGTACGAATTCGAAATTATGTTCTGAACTTGTGTTTATGACATACAAAAGGGGTTCTAAAGTTCCTTCAGCAGTTTTCGGACTGTTTTAGTAATTAAACGAACAAAAGGTTGTAAATTATGTAGAGGAAATGAGGGAAAATGATTTTACACGCACGAAACAATTTAATAGAATTCGATTATTCTGTGCAACTTATTCCATTGAGATATTTTCTACAGAATTTCCTCGGCGCAATTTTTCCAAGTTATTTTCATTCCATTTTTCTTTTTTTTTCCCCAAGAAAATCAAACAAAAAGCTGAAGAATTCGAGCCGAGGATAAATCGGCATCAATCATTAATTTAGTAATATTATGAGAACCTTACAATAATTAAGATTTATACTGATCTTCTTTGAAATTTGAAAAATAATATAATTGGTAATTTAAATTTCTCAATCATTGGTTGACAAAATAATTCTGAATATGAATATTTAAATTGATGGTTAATTTAACAATAAAAAAATTGGTGGGTAATATTAACGATATCGAAAAAAATCCCCAGACAGTCCTATTAATAATGAAATTGAACATAAAAAACTGAACAGTCGTTTATTTACAAAAAGAAAAATTGAGAACATCTCAGATTTCACGAGAACGTTGAAACCGTAGACAACAATAATTTGACAATAATCTATTGATGATGAATTCAGTAGTGAAGTGGTAAAAGGAGACAAGTCAATGTTGACTATCGACCTGTTTTCAATGAATATCTCGGAATCTGAGGGACATATCAAAATTGTTATTATAACCTTTTTTGTAGAGCCGATTGAGTGCTACAACAAATGTAATTACGAAAATTTCGCTATCTTCCTTAGATTCGGAAATATTCCTCAAAAACTCAACTGGGAGATGAGTCGACTTGAACCGTTTTACCACTTCGCCACTGAATTGTTATCGAAGGAAGATCGAATAAATTAATTCTCAATGGCAATTTCCTCGGCCTCCATTTCCTCCTCGGACTCCTCCATCTTCTCGTCATTCTGGGCTGCCTCCTCCAGCTTCTTCCTGTCCTTGAGGCCAGCAGCTGGTGACCTGATGAGGGAAAGATTTCTCTCCACCTCCTTGATGTCCTTCTCCTGCTCCAACACACGACCCTTCCTCAATCTCTGCATGATGTGGGTGTTGGCTCGCTTCTGCCTTATGCTCTCGACCTTCTTCATGGCCTCCACTGTCTTGCTCCACAGCTCTCGGTTGTATTTAACTGGAGTATTTCTGCGCTTCTCGAACTCGAAGGAGGGATCCACCGCCAACTCCTTGCCCACGGTTTTTCTGTAGGCTTTCGTCCATTTGGTTTTCCTTGGGTTCTTCTTCTTCTTAAAGGCTGCGTGACACTTTGCTCTGCAGAACTTGAATATCTGGAAGGAAAAGGGGTGAACAGCTCATAAACTGAAGCCCAACGGTAAATCTTTCATTCGAAGTTACAGGATTGCTGTCACATCGTCGTTGTTATTCCACGCGAAAAAAAAAATTAATAGAAAAACCTTAGATAATTCTGCTGAATTTCTATTGAACTTTCACTAGTTTTTGGCCGTTTCTATTGAAATGTTTGATGGATGATATTCAATGGGAAAATTCAGTTGAATTCAATTTCCTCGGCTCCAATTTGTCAAGTTTGTTTTCATTCTATTTTTCTTTTCTTTTCAGCAAGAAAATCAAACAAAACCAGAAAATTTGAGACAAGAAAATTCTGTAGAAAAAAAACCTCAATGGAGTGAGTTGTAGGGAAGGGTAAGGGTAAAACGGACACTTTAGACTTTTTTAAAATTATTCATAACTCAGAAACAAATTGATCAATTGAACTCAGTTCAGGCTCGTCACAAAGAGAAAGAACTGTTCTTTGTATTGAAAAAAAAATTATTAAATTTTATCAACATTTCAACCCCTCATTAACATTTAAAAAGAGGTCAAAAGTGTGCGTTTTACCCCAACCTCCCCTATAGAAAAATCGAATTCTATTGATTTTTTCTATAGAATATTTTCCTATCAAATATTTTAATAGAATCTACCAAAATGAATGTCTATGAAATCTCAACCTTTACAAACATTTAAAAAATCGAATCGGGGTTATCCGCACGAATCAATTGATTGATTCTATTTTCAATGCATTATATTGTTTAAAAAGTCGATTAATATCGTGATGGAAGAGAGAAAACTCGGAATTTATGAACAATCCTAACCTAAAACCCCTGTCAACAAAACACGTGTACGCAGTAGCTCAACTCTCCATAAAATCATATAATTCACTAATTACACTTTACCTTGCAATCGTTCCTGACGAATTGAATCCCGTGCCCCGGGTATATCCTCGAGGAGCAGAAATAACACGTTTCAATCCTCATGTTTATGAAAAATCCACTAACAAAAACGTGAATGAACTCCCTTGGTCTGTCTCTGTCACTCTCTGACCTCTCGTATTTACTCCCCCGCTCGCAGGCTAGTTATTTCCCCTAGATCTGGATCATGGGACCAACAAAAACCCGCAGAAAGTCACTAGAGAAAAATATTCAAAAAGCGTGACCCTAGTGATCCAGTGACCCTTGTGACCCTTGTTATTTTTTCAATTAGTCATTTCCCGCGGTCTTATTTTCTGAGGTGATTTTTTCAGCATTTTTTTTCAGGTATTCTTTAAATAGAGGGCCCAGTAATTTTAATAGAATCCCCATAGAAATTCTAGAGAATTCCAATAGAATGTTTTAGCGATTTCGCTAGGTTTTCTATTGAATTTTTTTATCTATGGCAATTTAATTGACAAATTTGATGAGTGAAAATGGTTGAATCTATAGTATGGTCTGCACCAAACTGTATAAGATACTTGGGGATTCTTATTTAATAGAATAAATTGAGATTTTCATTTATGCTGTAGCCATCAATATTTTTCAACCCTAAATTTACCAATTTTGATTGCAAAATTCAACAAAAACATAATTAGTCGAATGACATTGAATGAATATTGAAAAATTCAATCCATTTCATATTTCCGCATGATCGATGATTATTCGTTGCAACAGAGTCCATAGAATGACTTTTTTCCCGGATTATTTTTTGAAATTATGGAGTCTCCAGGGACTTTCTGTCCTCAGGCAGTGGCAAACCTGTCGTAAAAGCGATTGTAAACTTCTTCGAACTGTCGTTTCAGGTTATGACATCGAAAAAACGTCGACCCGCTATTTAGTTGATTATTTTGTTTCCCCTCACGAAGGCAATCCGCAGCAACACAAAGTAATAATCATATTAAATTCCTCTGTTAAGCTCATAAATTAATAACCATGGATGATGTTATATCACAATTCATGGATATAACCGGGGTCGAACGGGAAAGAGCCTCATTCTATCTCGCCTCGTCAGCTTGGCAGTTAGAGGTGAGACAGCATATTTAAAGACAACCAGAGTTATCAGTTTAGTGTTCATCGATTACAGCTGCTTTTTCATTTTTCATTGTCTAGAAGAGTTTTCATTGTTTGGATGTTCGGTTTAATTCCTCTATTTTTGTGGTTTTCCTCGGTTTCGAAATGTCTGCCAAGCAATTTTTGCATTCTATTTTGGGTTCAAAAATTGAAAAATCTCATAGTTTTTTGTAAACAAAAGTTTTTGGTTTTTCTTGGCACTTTTTTTATTTTGTAGAGAATTTGCACCGAGCAGTTTTCCCACTATTTAATTTCCAGGTTTTTTTCAAGGACATGAAGAAATAAATTGATGTTTATTTCTTCATCTAATAAATTGATGCCTTTGAAAAATACCAAATACATAATTTCCCGGAAAATTTATTCTTCTGCTATTAATTTATTCTTTGAATATCAGTTTTTGTATGATTTTCAATTTTATTATGGTTATTATTCCCAGTTTTGTATGCTGTAAGACAATATTTCCCCCTTATTTATGTATTTTTTGCATTCTCCAAACGTTTGTGGTAAAAAAAGGCCTCCCTCACAGTAGATGTCTCCCTTTCACATTTTCAGTTCAACAATTATTATCCCCCAATCACCTCCAATAATATTCTCTCTCTATTCTCATTTTTTTCCACTTTTCCAAACTTCTGAAATGAAACAAAAGCCTCTCCAAAAATATAAAAAAAACTCATTTATTTCATAAAAATTCATTAGTTTATTTAATTACAAATCATAACAATTCACGGTTGGTTCAGGTATTTTTTCAATTATTACCAAAAATTGATCTTCTCAACCGAGCAATTATTATCCCTCAATCATTTCTAAAAATATTCTCTCGCTATTGTTATTTATTCCATCGTTGCAAACTTCTTAAACAATGAAAAACCCCGCTAAAAATATAAAAAACTCATTAACTTCCGAAAAATTAATTAGTTTATTTAATTAACATTAATAAATATTCAAGGCTGCTCTGGCAATTTTTCAATTATTCCCAAAAGTTAATTCTCTGAAAAATCCGTCCTCCACAGTAAATGTCTCACTTTGACATTCTCAATTCAACAATTATCTCCAGCTCTCCCAATGACGTTCCACAATACTCTCAATCTATTCTCATTTTTCCATCCTCCCACATTTCTCAGATAACAAAAAGTCCCTCCAAAAATCTAAGAAACTTGTCCATTGAATAAAATCTATTCAAAGTTATTAAATATTTAAAATTTATTAAATTTATTGGATCGACCATTTAATGAGAATTCATGAACTTGAAGGTTGCCCTTGGTAATTTCTACGAGTACGGTGAGTCAGGTGCCCCGGAGGGAGCCCCTGAGATAATCCCCGTGGACGTAGCAACCGACAGATCATCCCCGGAAGAGATATCCCAGCCTGAAGTGACAGAATCAATGAACATGGATCCCTCTAAGCAGAAGCCTAAGTCCAAGCCTAAATCGACGTCGCGTTTTGCTACCCTGAGCTCCTTCCAGAACCAGGAGAGCAGCTCTGACGAGGAGGGACAGGCGTTCTACGCTGGGGGCTCGGCGACCAGTGGTCAGCAGATCCTGGGGCCCAACAAGAAGAAGGCAGACATCATCAACGATATGTTCAAGACTTGTCAGAAGCAGTCGGTGCCTGGAGAGGAGAAGCCCCAGAGCCATTGCTCGCACCAGCAGAGGCCCAATACATTCAGTGGGACTGGGTATAAATTAGGACAAACTAGTAGTGACACTGAAGGTAATTACGAACACATAAACGACATTTCTATTCTTTCATTTAAAAATTCAACACCCGGATTCATCATCTTTTGAACGTTATCTCGATTGTTTTTCCATCTTCATAATCTGAAATATATCACAATTTCCATCGGATTTTACATCACGCAGGTGTCCCCAAAAATTATGCTTGCACAATCAAAAAAAGAAAAAAACTGAAGATTTTCAAAGAGAATTTTTAATGAAGATTAGGAAATGGGTCCGGCAGAGAGGAAATTGTAAGTGCACTGAGAGAAAAACGACAAAGTTCTCAAACAAGTCTTACTTGTGCCAAGAAAATAGTTTTTTGAACATTATCAAAAAAGGATTTTTTGTGCCCAACATGCAGAGAGTGCGCCAGAATGAAAAATTTTTGTCGCAAAAATAGACTTAGTAGTTCAAAAAAATTGCATTCTCTGTACACGCAAGAAATGTCATTTCTAGCACTGCTCCTTCGTTATTCGATACTCCCATACGTATTTTGCTCCCGAAAAATCTTTGTTTTATGCGAAACAAGGGATAGTAGTTTTTTGTTTTGGCTGTCTAATAATCACAAACAACAAATGAACCCTTAAATGAAACAATAATAATGATATGATAGCAATCTTGTAACTCAGGGATAAAATATTAGTTGACAAATTTTCCTCTATATGAGATATTTTCATCCTGAAAAGGCACCGTCTGGTGTGAATTATCCGCCTCTTGAGCCAAATATTTCGTTGCTGTCGAAAGCAGAACAATTATTAATGCTTGAGACTTTCAAATTCGAACCGAACAAATTCTTTTTTGGCAATTTTCAACTAGCGATTTTGTTGGCCCAAACAAGACTTGTTTGACAACGTGTTTGTTTTTCTCTCAGTGTAGATCATTTATAATGGCTCCTGAGACTAATGAGGACTAAACAGCCATTAAATACTGTAAATTATTAATTTGTAATTTCCTCCCTATTGGGTTTATTTCCGTTTCATTTCCGTTTTTTCAACGTTTTTTTGATTGCACAATCATAATTTTTGAAAACTTCAGGGCTATGTAAACCTGACTGGCAATCAAAAAACATTTCAGATTATCAAAATGAAAAAAAAAAACAACCTAGTTCACCGTACTGCGTTTTTTTTGTAATTCTCATCTCATGATTTTTTTTCCATCATTAGTAATTCCTGCATCACCATCTAGTCAGCCCAGTAACACTGGAATGATAACTCTGAAGCTGTGGCGCGATGGTTTCACCATAAACGATCGTGAAATACGATCATACACTGATCCCCAGAATCGTGAATTTCTGGATGCAATTAAAAGGGGAGAAATACCAGCTGAGATACGCGAGGAGGTGCAGGGGGTTGAGGCCCGTCTGGACATGGAGGATCATCGTCATGAGGAGTATGTACCATCGAAGCCAAAGGTCAAAGCTTTCGCTGGCAAGGGGCACAAGTTGGGAAGGTAATGAACTCATCAATTCATTACAATATCTTGGGAATAAACAATAGCATCTAAATTTTGATGATGACATCAAAAAGCTGGGGAAATTTTCGGTTCCAAACACCACAGATGATCCTTTTTCTATCGATTATTACCTGAGGAATTGAAGATTTTTATTTCAACTGTCGAAAACTAATTTTTCGAGTGTCTCAACATCAGTGATGGGCATATCAATCATAATTACCGTTAAATTGTGAAGTTGTCAATTTTCAACATAAATCTTAAAAAATTCAAATATTAAAGAAAATATTAAATATTAAAATTCTATGAACCAATAATTTAGATAGGAAGATTGACGATTACTTGGATAATCAAAAATCAAGTACCTAAAGTTAGAATTAGCTTGTTAACTAAAAAATTACGTTTCAGTATTATCAAATATTTTATTCATCATCAGTCGAACAATTTAGCTAATAAATTCTATATTTTCAATTTGTTAAATATAGTTAAACTTTGAATAATATAAGGAGGTAATCCTTTTTAATATTGTAAAAATCTAATATTATTGCCTATCCCAGCTCAACATCTGCTGAAGTGATGAACCATTTTCTGCAGCAAAAATCGAAAATTTCCCCAGCTATCGATTCCAACAATCTCCAGCCTTCTACCTCTCCAGATTGTCAAGATACGCAGAAATGCCTTCAAGAAAATGATGAAACATTGAATGAATAAAAAAAAAATTGATTCCAGCCCATCACCAGCAACAGTGGGCATGACAGTACCAGCAGATCCAGCAGATCAGGCAGCCAACGAGTCCCAGGCTCGTAGCCAACTGAATCTCGACACAAACAGTCCCACAACAACGATTCAAATAAGACTGGCAGATGGTCAGAACATTCGTGAGCAGTTCAATCTGACTCACACAGTCGGTGACATCAGGAGGTACATAACAACGATGAGACCTCACTACGCAATTCAGGATTTCAGTCTCCTGACTGCTTATCCAACTAAAGAACTCACTGAAGAGGACAAGACAATCGAGGAGGCTGGTCTAAAAAATTCAGCTCTTATGCAACGCCTTAAGTAGAAACAGATCTTTCATATTTGCTACTATTAAAATATTCGTATTGTATTTAAGTTCACGTTTTCAACGGTAAATCAATAAAAAGATAGAATTTGGTTAACGACAAAAAAGTACTGGAGATGTTTAGCCCATTCTAAAGGTAAAAAAATCAAAAACTCATTAGAAATTAAATCAATCCTCTTTATTCAATACAAAAATCCCTAAAACGTACAACTCCCAATAATCTCAATCACTAAACAATTTCCCAGAGATATAATACTGAAAGACCGTTGAGCCTGGAGTATTCTTAGCAAACCTCAGCACCTGGTTCTCCACGACTTCCTGGTCCCCACCACACCCCTCATACTTATAAACCCTGACCAAATCATCCAGCTTCCTCCTAAAGTTCCTCTTCTTAAAAACCTTCCCCTTGTCCTCGAGCTCATAAATGTGTCTGTCCTCCTTATTAGCCTCCCCCCTCAGTCTCTTGGTCGTCGACAGGATCATAGGAGTAGAAAAATTCAGAGAATCCCCGGACGACCCCTCGACACAAAACACGAATGTCTCCACCCCGAAGGGATCCCCAGACTTGGAGCCTCCCGCGACCTTATTAAAATCAGAAATAACACTCGACATCGTTGAATGATACTTCAGATTAATGTATTCGTTCCACATCAGGGTCACAGCCAGTCTCGCCCTCCCGAAGGTCCTGTAGAGACAGTCAGACTCGACAAGATGCCTGATTACCCTGTAATCCACCCCCTCGTGGGGAAAATTCCAGGCAACTGTTGAATACGTGAAGTTCCTATTCAAGACTCCAGACAGCGATTTCATCCCAAAATTGAAGACAGGGGGGAGGCTGGTCTCAAAAATTCAGCTCTTATGCAACGCCTTAAGTAGAAACAGATCTTTCATATTTGCTACTATTAAAATATTCGTATTGTATTTAAGCTCACGTTTTCAACGGTAAATCAATAAAAAGATAGAATTTGGTTAACGACAAAAAAGTACTGGAGATGTTTAGCCCATTCTAAAGGTAAAAAAATCAAAAACTCATTAGAAATTAAATCAATCCTCTTTATTCAATACAAAAATCCCTAAAACGTACAACTCCCAATAATCTCAATCACTAAACAATTTCCCAGAGATATAATACTGAAAGACCGTTGAGCCTGGAGTATTCTTAGCAAACCTCAGCACCTGGTTCTCCACGACTTCCTGGTCCCCACCACACCCCTCATACTTATAAACCCTGACCAAATCATCCAGCTTCCTCCTAAAGTTCCTCTTCTTAAAAACCTTCCCCTTGTCCTCGAGCTCATAAATGTGTCTGTCCTCCTTATTAGCCTCCCCCCTCAGTCTCTTGGTCGTCGACAGTATCATAGGAGTAGAAAAATTCAGAGAATCCCCGGACGACCCCTCGACACAAAACACGAATGTCTCCACCCCGAAGGGATCCCCAGACTTGGAGCCTCCCGCGACCTTATTAAAATCAGAAATAACACTCGACATCGTTGAATGATACTTCAGATTAATGTATTCGTTCCACGTCAGGGTCACAGCCAGTCTCGCCCTCCCGAAGGTCCTGTAGAGACAGTCAGACTCGACAAGATGCCTGATTACCCTGTAATCCACCCCCTCGTGGGGAAAATTCCAGGCAACTGTTGAATACGTGAAGTTCCTATTCAAGACTCCAGACAGCGATTTCATCCCAAAATTGAAGACATCGGGAATTCCAAAATCGTAGACTATAAAATTGTCCAGTCCAATGTTCCTGTGGAAGGCTATGAACGTTATCATGTCCATCCTCTTCCCCAGAGCCTCATCTTTATTCAAATTGGGGGGTGCAACGCAGATTACTGAATCGTTTCTCATCCCCGTCTCCCCAATCTTTCTGACTTTGACGATCGCTTTTTTCGATTTCTCCCCCTCGAAAAACTGAACTCCAGTGATTCTCTCGTGCTTCGAGACGTGCTGACCCTTGCAGATGAGGACGAGACCGTAGAACTTCACTCCGTTGACGTAAGCCACGTCGATGGAGTCGTCCTCAGACATGATTTCGTACGAGAAATGCCCAGGAATTCTCTGGGGATTCTCTGCGTTCGTGAAGATGGCACAGGTGAACACGCGGCTTTTGAGGTAATTGGTGTTGCCGAAGGCAATGGCTCGGACTTCCTCGTCGATGTGATAGGCTGAGAAGACCTGGAGGTCGTCCGAGAGCCTCTGCCACGTCGACGAGGGATCGGAAAAATCCGATTGGAATTTATTCGTTGAGAGGGAACAGGTCTCGTTAGCTGGATTCTGCGAGGGTGTGCCGAAGTAGTTGAAGACCTGGAGGACGAATCTGAGTTTGTTGTACTCGTGGCGGTAGAAGAGGAGCGCGATGAGGCTGAAGGCTGCTGTGAGGGCGAGAGCCGCTTGATAGTATTTTTTCATTTTTAGACTTTTTGGCCTTTCTTATTGTTCTTAGGGGTTTGAGGGGTTTATCAGTCTATTCTGGGCGGTTTGGTTGTTATACCTGTGGAGGGAAGGGTGAATTCATTATTGAGGTAATGGGGGGAATTAAAAAATTCAATGAAAAACTCATTGTAGGGGGGGCTGGGGTAAAACGGACACTTTTGACTTTTTTTTAAATGTTAATGAGGGGTTGAAATGTTGATAAAATTGAATAATTTTTTTTTCAATACAAAGAACAACTTTTTCCCTTTGTGACGAGCCTAAACTGAGCTCAATTGATAAATTTGTTTCTGAGTTATAAATAATTTTTAAAAAGTCTAAAGTGTCCATTTTACCCCACCCTCCCCTATCGATAATTTGTTCAACAAATTAGCGGCAAAGCTCGGTGAGACTTCGTGTCCGTATTTTTGAGTTTAATGTAGATAAATATAGCTTCCCTTGTTGGCTAGCACATGGTCAACAGCATTTCTCAATAAAAAGCTTTGGAAAAAAACTTGGAAAATTTATATTCCAGGATTTTTATCTTTAAAAAAGCTCCCAATAGAATAAGTATCGAAAAATCCGAATTGATAATTTTTTTCTGAAAAAATATAAATGAAAAAATTTCGGTAGACATAATTTCAACAGAAATCGACGCAACAGAAAGAACTTCCAGTTGAATTTCAATACGTAGGACACGCCAGTAGAATTCTAATGGAGTTCCAATGGAATGCAATAGAATTTCTCAGAGAAATCACACGAGGTCAGCCGACAAAATGAAGAATTGAGTGTGAAGAAATAATAAAATGTCTCGGTCGAAATCGCTAATTCTTGTAAATAAAAAAGAGAATAGTCAATTGCCGATTAAAAATAGTAAAAATACTATCAGTTTTTCTCTTTCTTTTTCTGTTGACTTATCTTCACTTTTATTGGAAACAAACTCCAGGACCCTTCCCTTCGGAGTCCGAGGAAAATACATTAGATTACAAAAAAAATATATAAAAGCCCCACTGGACGTACTGCAAACATTATCAAAAATAGAACGAAATGAAATGATGAAACCATAACCCGCTCAAAAAAAAAGTGCGCTAATTTTCGATAAATTTTTTTTTCTTGTGGTTCTGGGGGGAATGGGGAGAGGGTGGGGCGATCACTGACCTAGGTGCTCCGGTGGTGGTGCGTGTCACAGGCTGGAGTGGTGGAACAATATCCTGCCCTGGCTTTGTTGTGCGGCAGATTCTGTGCGACGCGGTATTCCAACCTCTTGTGATTGTCAATCAGACATGATCAGACAATCTCGATCGTGCGCATGCGCATGTGAGTGAGATCCGAACAATTAGCCCCTCATGTATAAATATTCCAAATTTTTATTTTTTTCCTCATTGAAGTAGTTTTGAAGATAATTGCGAGCTAATAAAAAACATTTGCTAGTTAGTACTTTTTTTAAATAAATTTTTGAAAAATCACCTCTGAAAAAAAAGGCGTTATCCTCTCTATTTCATTATTTCCAAAAAATTTTATCGCCAATCGATAGCAAATTGTTTGAAGATTTTTGCGAGTTAAGAAAAAATCGTCAATGCAATCCTATTATTGTGTAAATTAACAATTCCAATTTCAACTGAAATCAGAGTTG